TCTGGCGTGGAGGACAGGGAGGTGGCTATTGTTTGGAGGGAGAGTCCCCCTCCCTACGACCGCATGTCAGGGGTGGAAAATGGCCGCAGATCACATGTCAGGGGTGGAAAAATGGCTGCGGATCACGTGTCAGGGGTGGAAAAATGGCCGTGGACCATGTGTCAGGGGCAGAAAATGGCCACGGACCACGTGTCACGGGCGGGAAAATGGCCACGGATGCTGTTCGTGACCCGATCCAGCGTTCGCGAACGGAGGCAAAATTTTGCGACCGGAGCTGTTCGTGACCCGAATTGGTTGTGAACAGAAGCGTTCGTGACCCGAGGCACCACTGTATTTGTAGATACTTCAAATTTGTAGCAGAAGTATCTGGTTTTCTTTCTTTTTAAAGCATCTTTCAGTGATCCTTGGCTTCTAGACTGGATAAGTTCCTTTTGTTTCCTACATTTGCCAGTGCTAAAATTCAGTTTCTGGAATGTCTACCCTTTAGGCCTCTTGTATTCTTTATTAAGCCCTTAAATTAAAACTCTGCCCATTTCTGACACTGTCTCTGGATCATGACTAGAAAGTACAGTTTGAAACCAATTGAAGAGTCATTCTGAATTCCATGGGAAAGTAATCCTGAAGTGGAAGAGATCTGATCACAAGCTCAGGATCTGAGCATAAGTTCTTAGAAAATCTGTAAAGGGAACAAGTACCAAACATCTGGTTTTCAGATTAGGACACGAAAACAACAAGCATGGGACAGCACAGATAATTAGGATTGTTAGTTTGTTGCAGTATAAGACAGTGGTTTGTTAGAAATGTAGTTTTTGTTTCTTGAAGTTCCATTTTTTATTGTAGATACTTAGAATTTAAGTGGAATATTTATTGGGGTACTTTGTAGTTTTCTTCCTCAAAAGTAACTGGAACATTTAAACTTAACCTTTTTTGTCTATTGCTCGATCAAGTGTAGTGCAGCCCTGGATTATTTTCTTCAGTTGCTTACAGACATATATATTCCGTAAAGTTCCAAGTTAAATAAAAATGTCCAGATTTCAGAACAATGGTTTTGT